CCCCCGCGCCCTACGCCGGCGCCCTGCGGGAGGCGGTGTCCCGCATCCGCCGCCACACCGCCCCGGACTCGGACTCCGACGAGGCTGCGGAGCTCAGCGCCCACAGCGGCTCTTCGGATGGAAGCGACACTGAAGCCTCAGGCGCCTCCTGGCGGAACGAGCGGACCCTGCCCGGGGCTGGGAACTCCACCCAGCCCGGGGACGGCGGGAAGATCGCGGGGCTGAGCGACGGCAGCCGGGAGATTCTAGGCGTCACCGGCCAAACCGACGAGGCCCTTTTGAGGCCGAGGGACGCCAAGGGGACCCCACGGCGAAGTAGAGAGTGGCAATGAGAGGCCCTTTCCTGTATTTATGCTCCTAACCGACCCATCTTCGGGCCTCCCTTCCTTTGAGACTTCCTTGTGCCCCTGACCCAGACCTGTCCCCACAGGAAGCAGGAGCCGCCCGAAGGGAAGGAGAGGAGAGGTGAGGGCGAGCAGCAGACGCTCAGATCACATCCGCAGGGTCTTCAGCAGGGGCCAGGTGGGCAGGTGAGCAGAGAGGCCAGGGCGGGGGCGTGGGGCAGTGGGAATGGTATAGCCATCGACAGAAACCTCAGCTCAGGAGATAGAAAGCAATGGAGAATCTTGGGATTAACGTGACCAGGTGACAGGCTCTTGGCAGAAGAGGCAGGGGTGAGAGGCAAACAGCAAGCCAGCAGGAGGCGGGCTGACTGCCCCGCAGCCTCGGGCTCCCACCCCAGCCCGACCCTGGCTTGGCAAGTCACTTCCTCTGCAGGCATCCTCACCTGGAAAACGAGGGTGTTAGTTACAAGGTGCGTTCTTGACATCTGGGACTTTGTGGGGGAGACTTCTAACTCATCCTCCCCTCCAAAAGCCGGGAAAGAGAGTTAGGGATCAGACAGGCTCTGAACATTGTCCCTGGGTGGCCTCACTGGCACACTCATTCTCAACTCTAGAGGTGGTTCAGAGCTTGCAGGCCTGAATGAGCGGGCCAGGGCCCCTACCCCAGTCTCCGGTTTAGGTGAAGGCCAAGGCAGGGCAGGATAGGGCCTTGTCACTGTCCCAGGCCGTCGCGTCCCAGCTGCAGAGGGAAGGCAACCAATGAACCAGCTTGGGACCTTTTCAGGCCTCCCCCTTCTCCTGCTCCCGTGTTCTGTAGTGATGCTCTGAATCTTTACCACGATTTCCTCCCCCCAGGTGGTATCGCCCATCTGAAAAAAAAAACCTGAGAAATTTTTAATATTTCTGCTTCTTCCAGAAACCTGTCAAGGGAAGGCAGGAGGTTGATTACCCCAAGATCTGTAGGTGGGGGGCGTGTGATACTCTCTGTGGCCACTAGGGGGCGCGCAGGTCGCGATTTCCCCGGTAGTTCACCCCAGAGTTCCCACTCTCCTCCCGCCCAGCACCCGCAGCAGATCTGCCAGTTAATCGACTGATCCCTAGTTGCCGCGAGCGCGGGTTCCCGCCCGGTGGGAGCCAACCTAGCGCAGCAGGGAGCAGGCTCCTGGCCTTTCGAGCCTCTGGCTCGCGCCAGTCCCTTTTCCTGCCCATCCACCCCAACCGGCGTGGGACCCAGACACTGAAATTTTTTCTTCTCGGATCTTGGACATCTCTCCTGTCTCTGCTCTCTTCTGTGAACTTGGTCAAATCACTTCACCTCCCTGAGCCTCAGTTTCCTCATCTGTCAAATGGGGGTTTATAAACACCTACCTCGCAGGGTTGTTGTGAGGATTTCACGCGATAATCTATGTAAAGCGCCTAGCACGCAGCAGGCGCTCAATAAACCTACGCTCCCCTTTGTCCAACCTTGCCTTTTCTTCCTTTCACCGGCCCATTGCCCACGGTGTGCCCATAGGGCTCCTCCTCTCCTTCCGCTAGGTGTGGGATGGGGTGGGGGGCGACTCCTTCCTTTGATGGCAACTCCAGGGGCACCCTGTCTCCCCCGCGCCTCCCCCCCACCCCTTCGGGACTCTCCCTTCTTTGTCCCCCACCCCACCCCACCCAGGCTGGCTCTTCCCACTGCCCGGGTGCACTCCCCCACGCCCCCATTCCGGTCAAGGACTGAGTCAGCCTGGGTAAATTTAGCCACCCGACTCGGGCAGGCGCGGGGGCTTCGCCCAGACGCTGTCGCTCCGCCCCGCCTCTGCGCCCACCCCCACGGAGTCCCGCCAACTCCACCTCCCTCTTAGCCTTCAGATCCCCAGTCCCTGTTCTCAAACCACTTATGGTTTCGGTCTCCAATTATCTCGAGGTCACTCTCCACCCAGCCCAGAGACAGGGAAGGAAAGGGCTCCCAGGAGCCCTCCCCGCACCCCTCTCCCTGCAGCCGGACCCTAAGTTGGGCGGACCGGCTTTTGGTTCAGTGGAGTGTTGAGTAGCACAGAGTCAAACAAGGGGGTTGGCATGGATTTTATGACATCAGGAAGCCTCTGAGGACGAGGACAGCTGAGCAGGAGTTTGGGGAAAGGGATTCCAAGCAGAGGGAACAGCAAAGGTGGGGGACCCTGGTGTGTTTAGGACTGTATCCAGTAGTCTGACCTGGCTCCTCTTTGGAAACTGAAACTGAGGCGAAACCACTATTCAGGGACACCCAGTAAGATCCACCCAGGACTGCCTGGAGCCCAAACTCTCACTGGAGGATGTAAGAAGTTGGGGTGTCACCTTGGGTAGAGACCAGAGGTGCCTGAAGTCCGCTTCCCCTCCACCTACAATCCTCACTACCACCCACTCTAACAGCAAGCACCTGAGTCTGGAGCACCTGAGAGGTGCCGGACACCCGGTCTGGGCTCCAGGAAAGACTGAGTCAGGGTGAAGATGGAAACACACGAAAATGATAGTGCTAACAACGTTTAAAAAAGATGTAAATGGCAGGAGGGAGCAGAGCAGTGAGTGTTAAGTAGCACAGAGTCAAACAAGGGGGTTGGCATGGATTTTATGACATCAGGAAGCCTCTGTGGAAGAGGACAGCTGAGCAGGAATTTGGGGAAAGGGATTCCGAGGACTGGAAACAGCAAAAAAACGGAGGCACTGATGTGGGGACCCCAAGTGTTAAGGGTCTTATTAAATGACTGACTGGAGAGTCCAGTCAGGGAAGTAGTGGAAGATAAGGGCCGAGTTGAGGCCAGCCTAGGCCTGCTGAGAAGTGTGTTAGATCTCTGGGTTTGAGAAGAGGACAGGAGGGAGAGGAAGAGGGCCAGGGCGGCACTTCCGCCTGGAATTTGCTACAGACCAGGGGCTCCAGAGCTGTGGTGGTACAGAAGAGGAGCCACTGCACTTGGATGACTGGCCACTGGACGTGGCTCTTCCACAGGCCACTAAGAGCTGCAAACACATCTTTGCTGTTGTGTTTAGCACGTGGGCTATGGGGTCTGGCAGCCTGGGTTTGCGGTCTTGCCACTACCTCATACTAACCTTGGGCAAGTTATTGAACCTCCCTGTGCCTTGGGGTGCAAGCATGGTTATTAATAGTGCTTTGCCACAGGCTTGTTGGGAGGATTAAATGAGTCAATGTGTGAGGTGCTTAGAACAATGCCTGGTATGTAATAAGTGACAGAGAGGTTCACAAGCTTTGATGGGCTCTCCCTAGGACTATTTCTTTAGTGTTGGGGGTCTAGGAATAGGAGAATGGAGTAGAGGTAGGGGAAGAGAAGGAACAGGCAGCAGAAGCCGGGACCAGCAGGATCCCTGGGTGAAAGAAACAGCTCCCTGAATGGATCACTGGGATGTTTAGGGTGTCAGTGCAGCAAACCTCCCCACAAGACTTCTCCATCTTTGCTTAAGGGTGGAGTCAGCACCAGCTGCTACAGATCTAAGGAGAAAGGGGGAGTCCATGCAGGTCTGGGACTGCTCCTGGGGAGCCATATCTCAGACTGGCCCGGCAGGACCTTGTGGGTGGGAAGCTGGAGACTCCCTGCTGTGAAAATGACTTCTAAATCTGGCTGCTGCGTCTGTCTGCAGTCAGCCTCAAGACAGAGGCCACAACCTCTGGTCAGGCTGGGGCAGCAGCCTTCAAGGAGCAAAACACCCGACTACCCTCTCCACGGCCAGGTTCTTCCCACCTGCCTTTCATCTGTCCCACCTGGGGCCCAGCTAATGTGGCTTTAAGGAAGAAGCAAGGAGCCCTCTTTCCTTTTAGAGCCACAAGACTTCTCTAGATCAGCCACGATCATTTGTGAAATGAAGAACAGACCATGATTCTGAGTTTTTGGGGATTCAGGATCGGGGTGCTAGTGTGACTGCGTGTAGAGGAGACCCCAAGAGAGGGCCAAACACGGGCCTCCAGGGAGTGTGGAGAGCGTGCCTATGAGAAGAATCAGCATTTCCTCAGCCGTCCTTTCGTTCACCTACTAATAAGCGTGCCAGGCCCTGGGCACACCAGGCTCAGACAGGGGAACTATCTTTCAGGAGCTCACAATCTAGGGTGTAAAGGAGATAGGGAAGAGGATGTGGAAGAGGAAATCCACAGTCATTACAGTGCAGGCTGTACAATGTGATATGTTTGTGGACCCTTCCCTGTGGGCCAGGGCGGGGATCATGAAGGAAGGGACAGCTCCCATACGCTGACTTCTGGGGAGTGGGAATATACCCAGACCTCTGAGAAATCTGTGGCAGGTGCTACTAGTGAAGGAAGGATGCTGTCCCCAACTCTGCACGTCTTGCAGGGAGTGGGCTCCCTTATATATATATATGTATGTATGTATGTATGTATGTATATATATATAATATATATATTTATATAAAATATTTATATAAATCCCTGGTATTACGCAGCCTTTTGTGAATCATTCTAGAGAAGAGATTGTCTACCCTTCTATCCGCCTATAGATTCTTCCTCCATCCACCCATCCGTACGTCCATCCTTTTGTTCACCCATCCACATAGCCACGTGTCCTTCCATCCATCGATACATATATTCCAGTCAATAAGTGTCCATCCACCCACCAAACCGTCTGTCATCCATCTGTCCATGTCTCCGTCTATCCATTCATCCACTTGCTCATCCAGCCACCCACCTTCACTTAATGAGGGCATATAATGTGTCTGGGTCAGTTCTTCAAGGAGGGCCAGCATGAGCAGAACACAGAGCTGTGTCTTCAGGGGGCTGGAAGCCTCGCATCATGATGGGTGCCATACACAGATGACCGCCCACGGGAGGTCTGGTCTGTGTGGTCTGTGAATCTGACTGAGAAGGAGCTCAAACGAGCAAGTCCACTTTACAAAGAAAACTCCAGGAGCCTTCATGGAGGAAGGCGATTTGAGATGGTTTTCGGCAGTGGGACGAGGGAAGAGGTGCATTCCAGACTGGGCAAAGGCAGAGAGGGGGGACAGCC